GTGTGTGTGTGTGTGTGTGTGTGTGTGTGTGTGTGTGTGTGTGTGTGTACTGTGTGGTGGTATAGAATAGATATGAAGAGAACCACATTTGCTATGTCATTCTAATCCTGATCAGGAAAAAAAAGAACATATATATTGATAATCACCAGATACAGATACATGTCAGCCAAACAATTTCATAAAACAGTCGATTATCCCTCCGCTAGACTAAATATCTGTCGAATTTTCACTTTCAGTACACTCGATTTTATAATAAAAAGATCGAGCGATCATGCTTATTCTCAATGCTGCGAATCGAGATCCTTGACGAACAATTCCATTTCCATATTAATACCCTCCAAATTACTATTACTACTAATATCATCATTATTATTATCGCTCTCGTCCTTTTTAGTCCTCAACATGTCCATAGGCAGTATGGCTTCATTTGGATCACCACTCGGTACTAAGAACAAAATCCCAACCGGGAGCACACGACACAAGCTCCTTATCACTATGACCAACCAGAGGTTATCGAATTTCGTGCGTGTCACATTCAGAGCATGCAGCAAGAATCCCCCAGCCCACGAGGCAGTGAATTGGCCCACATGGTCAATCGACATGAGCAACGCGAAAAACGTGCCCTCAATGCCCGACGGGCAAAGTTTGGAGCTCAGCACAAGAAGTGGCATCCACTTTAGCCGGCTGATCATGTGAGAAACCGAGGCGTCTAATACCACGACCATGTAGTCCGGGATCCCGACAGCCAAGTTTATGCGCGAGACCAGTACGAGGTCCAGCAGGCCCGAGAGGCCGTATAGCAATTGGGCCCAGAAGAGGACCTGGCGGAAGGGGTGGGCCCGGAAAGCGTTTTGGTAGAGGAGGACACCAAAAAGCGAGCCGATTGCGCCAAAGGCTGATATGGAGCCCACCATCTCCTGAAAGGTTTAGGTGTGTGATTGTGTTGATTTTTAGGGTATATAATTTATTGCAGCATGTACTATACGTGATTTTGGGCTTTTTAACTTATAGTATTTTTTGTTGTAAATTGCAACTTACACTTCATGAACATTCATAATTTGCACGCTCGCCTACTTATTGACCATACGATCATACGCAAAAAAAAAAGGACACGTGTATGGTCAAGATGTAGGCGAGCGTGCAAATTATGAAAATTCATGAAGTTCAGGTTGAAATTTACAATAAAAAAATACTATAGGTTGAAAATCACAAAAGCACGTATATTACAGGTTGGGACAAATGTTTTACACTGATTTTTATTTATGTTATAAGAGGGTGGTAGATCGAAAAGGTTGTTTTCAATGAATCAGGATGGAGATTTGGAAAGAGACTTGTGGTGATGGTAATTGATTTCTTTACCAACGAAATAATGATTGAAGGTGAATATGATGGGTAAAATAAGCAAATGGATGGTGAAAAGTGTGATGATGATAGTTACATATGATGATATTTTTGCAGTAAAAAGCAAGGTTCTCATAGCCAGGCTGGTCATCGAACCGGCAAAACCTATCAAGTTCAATAGCACCAAATCGGACCGTGGTTAAAACCATGATTGAACCAGATTTTCGTTAAACGATATTTTTTTTTTTAATATATGAAGTATTTAAGTAATAAATTTATATAAAAACTGTCAATAAGTCCATATTTAGATAATTGCAGAACATACAAATGTCTAAACTAATTGATACATACCCAACATATTTAAATATGTATTTTTATTTATCATCAAAACACATATAAGCATATCTGACCAGCCAGTTTTTGAGCAGTTCAATCTGAAACTTTTGAAGGTTATAAAAAATAGTAAAAATTTAAAGAGTGAATACCTGTGAGAAAGCAGGCCCATCTTTTGCATCCGTATACCAATAGAACATGCCCTCGTGTATGTGCAGACTAACGGCAAGGGACAGGTACATGTACAAACACGGCCTCCAAACAACCGTACATTTGAGAGCCGCCCACATCGACCGACCAGCATCAACAAACTTATAACTAACCTGTTAAGAAAAACAGGAATAAAAACATTTCCTAAGTCAGCTCAATGGGGAGCCTAAAAGACCTAAACGAATCAAGTCAAAATATTTTCTTACTCTCTTGTAAGAAAAATTTCGGATTAAGGGCTCTTGTATAAACAACCCCACCAAAATCACTAGTGCAGCTGGAATACTAAGGACCCCGAGGGCACCCTGAAAAAGCCATGATTGATTATGGATAAGCCAATTATTCTTATCTTTTATTGTCATCAGGCGTAGAAACCAGTTGAAAATCATGAGACATATGACCTTAAAAATAAAAATGAAAGGTTAAAAAATAGTTAAAAAAATCCTACGCGGTATATGAAAGCCAAACAAGAAATTGACTCCCTTATTTTTTTGGATTTTGATTAAATTATGCAGAAACAGAAGCATAAGTCGGCAGAAGACAGCAAAAAATTACTTTTCAAACCAACATATGAGAATCAATTGCCTAAAGTTTGTGCTATTATGACGGAATTAACATTACATTAACACACACTTATACGCACACTTTCAGCTAGAACTATTTATGCATAAAAGCTAATAAATATTTAACTAAAGCTTGGCAGTATCTGAATAATAGTTTAACTAGTTACAAGTGTCTTTTATGTTTTTGCATGCTTTCCCATTGAGGCCTCATAAAAAGCAATGTAGATATTAAACTAGCAAGTTGTAATGAATTAGTAAAACCTTGGATCCAATGATATGAACCAAAAATCCGCTAAGCAAGTATCCGACCAATTGGCCAACAGACGAGCACAAACCGCACAGACTCTGCATCTCACCAGCAAGAGAAGGATGGATTATGCTGTTCTCAGTTACACAGGCATCGATAGTTACGTCTCCTATGGCAGCCCCAGCACTCCCACATATTAAGAGCAACAAAGCAAACCCGAGGTACAAGTTGCTTTTAAGTGATAGAGTTATCATGGATATAGCACCTATCATGCCTGCAAATCAAAAGGAGGTCATTCGAAAAAAATGAGATTTAATAGTTTAGTAGCTATTATGATGATTTCGAATGCTGTCACTTCAAGACCTTCTATTAACCATCTGAAGCACAGAGTTACCGTTACATTATAAAAGTTAATGCCTTAAAAATCTAACTTAAGCATATATAATATGGGTATATACATATTCCACAAATATACGACACACCCAAACGGTGTTGTTCAAAGAAAATGAATCTTCTTAAGAATTTCAAATTTTACTTGCCACTTGTAGTGGGGTAGTTATTCAACATTTTTTTCACATGTAAATGCTTTTTTTTGTGATCCCAGATGATAATAAGTTAGTAACCCTCTAGAGAAATGAAATGATTAATTTTTATCCATGATTATTGTTACATAAACTTGAAATTTGTCCAACATGATTACATTTTCTGAAATGAAATCCAGAAAAAAGATGCAACTCTTACAGAAGTAGGTCACATAACAGGTTTACTAAAGGGTTATCGGTCAATACATGCAGGTTACTTAAGATCGGAATGCATACACTAATAAGAAGCTCAAGAAAACTATATGCTTTCAGTTGCAAATTATATGTGAAAGAAACCTAGAAACAGTGATCTAAACATGACCGAGCATGTAACGAGTTAAAAAATATGTCTACAGTCCTGCGAGTCGCGTTTACAGATGACTGCGGCTAAAACTATCCATGTGGCAGAATACATTAAGACTGGCTATTCATCAAAAGGGTGCCTTTCTATTACGTTCTACAACAAAATCAACAAAATGCTCAATCTCCCTTCACCTGGCACACCCCTTCTCACAAAATATTTAGTCACACCATGTACATTTCAGTTTTCTTGTAACAAAATAAAATAAATTGCAGAACCACAACCATGTAACCTACAAACAAGTTGTGAAAACAGTGTGTGTATTATTACTCCATCTAAAGCAAGCAACAATGTTCGACCGGCCTGAATCGGAAGAGCTAAACGCACAAAATAAAATTGAATAGTACAATTAGCTGCCTAGACACACACACACACATTGGTATGTGATCGAGCATTTTTACCAGCAAAGATGAAGTAGGGCCTCCTGCGGCGGCCGCCAACGGGGACAGTATCAGTGAGTAGGCCCCACAAGGGCTTCACCATCCAAGGCATCATGATCATTCCATGGTACACCTGTGCCTCAGAAGGCTGCAATTTCTGCTCGTCTTTCATGTAATACTGCGTGCTCACTTTGCTCAGCCCCAAACCAATCCCCTGATTGATTCCGTACACCACCACAACCGCCGACACGAAGCTCCAGTGGAGCTCGTTGCTCAGCTTCTTCAAGAAATTAAAAGGGCTCAAAATCAGGCCAAAAATCCCGTTCTTGGGGACTTTTCCCCTCTGGCAGTGCTCTTCTTGAAGTGGGGTTTTGTCATCTTGATCCATTTTTTTTTTCTTATTTTTCTTTCGTTTTCTTGTTTTATCAGGATTTATCTGCAACGTGTGGATTCAAGAAAGAGATGGAGTTGCAGAGGTTAAAGAATTTATTTTTGTACTTAATTTACATTGTATTTTATATGAACGGAGATCTCGGCTCAAGATTTTGAATTTCTTGAAATGGGGGGTTTAAGCGACTTTCGTCAGGTAAATCGGAGAAGAAAGCATTTTTTTAAGAAAGGAAAAACAATGGCAGAGCGGAGCTAACAACGTTAAAGTTAACGAAGGGAGTGACCAACTGTACGGTTACGTCGAGTACAGTGAGTGCATTTCGAGCTTCAATCGCTAGGTGGAAGAAAGAGGCTTTGTGGAGAAGACGGTGAATTTAGGTGGAAGTGAACTGTGGAGTGGAGGACCGGAGAGTGGAAGAGGGTAGGGAAAAAACAGCCGAGATGGGTATGTATATTAGCCGAGGTATTGGTCAACGCCTTCAATCTGCTATCAACGGGGCCGGGCATCGGGCTTTCGTGTTTGGGCCTCTTAGACAAAAGCTTTAATAAGATATTTTGTTAAGTTAATTTCTTTCTTTCTTTCTTTTTTTCCCAAAACTTTCCCAAAAGAGAAACTATATTAATAAAAACCGCACAACGTGCGAAGAGAAGCAACCAAACGCTGAATAGTACAATCGAAGACTGGAAAAACTGAGAGGCAGATCCAAAGATCGCCTAAAGTCTGACCTAGCAACGCTAGAATAACAAAGTTCACAAACTACACCAAGTAACAACACCGACAAAAACTAAAAACTAACAAGGCTCCCAACAGGAGAATAAATTTGACACTCAGGCGCACAGAGGCCAAATGGCCCAAACCAAAAACACAAGACCCAAGTACAACACTAACACGAACTCAAACGAAACAGAAACAAAAAATAAATAGATGCTAAATAGAATATGGCCTTCCCCAGCCAACATACGAGCTCAAAACCAGTAGAGAAACAGTCGGTCCGAGAAGATCCCAAGCCCGGGAAACTGCTACCGAAACTGCGAGACCGCCTATACAGCAACCGAACCCGAACTCCGAAACCATCTCAAATCAACCCACCACCAACCGAGAGAACAAGACCCTTCCCCGACACCAATGCAACTCAACCTCTTCTAACACCACTAGCAGAAATCGGGTGCACCGGACCCTGCCATTCCCCAACACCAGAAGACCGGGGGGGTGAGAGCAGCCCGGCCCTACAACCCCAGCTTTCTCGACACCGGGTGTCTCGTCCACCAAGGTCCCGCCCCGTCCGCAGACCCTCACGCCACCCAACCTCACCACAATCCGCTGACAACAGGACCCCAGCGCTACCACCGGAAGCACCCACAACAGGGGCGACCAAAGGGTCCCAATCGCAGACAAGAGGTAAATCGAGGGACCAAACCACTCAAATCGAAGGTCCGCCGGCGAGGAAAATCCATCGGACTTTGATCGAGGGCCCACCACCCCAATCGGTATCTCGTTGACGACCGAGGACTGCGAGTCCATCTCCAAAAATTGTAGCAAATCGAGAAGGCGCGACATCAGGGACGGAGCGGGCGGTCAACGACGACTACAGGCTTGAGCCTCGCCGTCGACGAAGGAGGCCGGCTTAGCGCGATTCTGAGTTCTGCGAGGGTTTCTGAAATTCGCCGAAGAGGGAGAGAAAAAAGAGCCTTTTAAAAAAAAAAATAGATCATATTTAAGTTAATTTCTTGATAGGCAAAAGTATATTTTGGATTTGGGCTTTAATTTTAAAAGAATTATTCAATTAAGAAAAATTGACATCCCTTGTCTATATTCCTAGACATTTTTCAATTCAGGGCCTGATAACTATTTAGTCACTTTTACTCTTTTCATTTTCATATATACCCCTTTTTTATTTTTGAAGTTAATACATTTAAGTAACTGCTGTTTTATTTTTTACCGGGCGGTTTTTTCTTTTTTTTTTTTTGTTATTAGTCACGTCTTTTCTTGTCAACGGAGCCCATTAGAACCACGCGCATGGCAGAAATTACTCTAATCAAATCGCGATAGCACAAAAGAGTAAATGCTGATAAAACCTAGATAATCCGACAAAACAAAAACTTGAACAAGGAAACCCTAAATTCCCAGGAACTCAAGCATAGCCACAATTGATCCGACGAAGCCGATCCGAGCATGGCCGATAGTAGAAAACCCGTCGATCGCGATGAATCGGTTGAACAAATTAACAAATCAAAAGCCCGCTACAAAACAAAAGCAGAAAGCATCAAACCTGATGATACTGAAACCGAGACTAATCTCCTTCGATCGTAAAAAGGAAAGGTTGAATTGAACTGCGATGAAGAACACAATTGGAACAGACAATGTCGTGGGAGACGGAAAGGTTTAAGGTTGTGTTCTTTAAAGCTGTGTTTTCTTCTTGGATTGGTTTCTTTTTGTTAGTTTTTTGTTATTCTATAACATTTTGTTTTTATCAATTTGTTTTATTTAGTTATTTAAATAGTTCTGCATTCTTTATTCGTCT